GCTCAGCTTAAATCACGTGCCCACCCATTAATCAGTCACTGTTTTCTGAAGTGAGCCATTCAGCTCATGTGACAGGGAAGTGTGGCTTTCTTCAAAGAAGGGGTTGGGGCCCAGACACAAACACTGGAACATCACTGTCAGCTGGACAACTCCCAATTTGTGTCTCCTGCCAGGGCCATTTATTAGTGGCACATTATTATGTCATTTGTCACAGACCCCTCTCTTGATACAATAGGACTTTTAGATCTTTGGTTGAGAAAATACATAATGATATATAGCTATTAAGGAGTCTTGAATGAAATGGTATTTTATGAATCACATAGACACATATTTGAGTGTGGGGCATAAGATATATTCATTCTCGGGCCAACCCCCATGGCGCACTCAGGAGAGTGCGGTGCTGGGAATGCAGCGGCGCTCCCACCACGGGTTCGGATCCTACATAGGGATGGCCGGTGCACTCACTGGCTGAGCGCGGTGCGGGCGACACCAAGCCAAGTGTTGCGATTCCCTTACCGGTCACAAAAAAAACAAAAAAAAAAAAAAGATATATTCATTCTCGGGCCAACCCCCATGGCGCACTCAGGAGAGTGCGGTGCTGGGAATGCAGCGGCGCTCCCACCACGGGTTCGGATCCTACATAGGGATGGCCGGTGCACTCACTGGCTGAGCGCGGTGCGGGCGACACCAAGCCAAGTGTTGCGATTCCCTTACCGGTCACAAAAAAGACAAAAAAAAAAAAAAGATATATTCATTCTCTAAGCAGTTCTAAACATAGTCTTAGAAATGTGGACTCCACGTGCCCTTCCAGACTGCCCGTAGGTCCCACCTGGTCATGAAACCAGCTCCAGGAGAATGGGGTGGACAAGGGTATAAAGAGAGCAGAGAAATGCCCAAAGGGTCATAAGTGGATGCTAGACGGGTTTACTGAAACAAAATTGATAACATGCAGTCCTACTAAATTTGCTGATTTCTCCACCAGTAAGAGACTTGATATAAAACCCATCCACATAAACAGTCTTTCTCTACCTTTTATAGAACTGGGGTTGAAGATATCCCCTAACTGTTACTAGAAAGGCTTTATTTCTGCCACTTTGGCTGAAGTAACAATGCTGGGTCTAGCCCCAGTCTGGCCCTAGCCAGTATGACCTTGAGAAGGTCACTTATACTTGTGAATCTCGGTTCTTTCAGACACAAAATGAGGAGATTGAATCCAGCCACCGCTCCTCGGTTTTCCATATGCGTATCCCTCCTGGTAGGGGAGTTCACTGGGGAGGACCCCAGAGCACCTGAGGAGGTAGTCCGAGGAGGGCGAAGGTCTCGAATCTTACACTGGATCTTCAGATGACGAGGAACCCTAACCCCAGTTTGTGAAAACTGGAACTAAATTGCTGTCACCCATTTCTAACCGTTCTGTGAATTTCTCATGAGATAAAAGATGCCTTCAATGTATTTCAACGTGTTCTTTTCCCTGAGCTTCGGGAAATTTAGAATCAAAGTCAGCGCCTAAAGAAGTGACAAATCCAATTCAGGAGCTGATAACGTAGATTCTTTCAGCTTCTCTCGGATGATCTTCGTTCTCTTTTCTTCCTATCTTAGTTTACACAGAGCTTTACCTTGTAAGCCACCCCAAGGCCTCCAGAAAACAGATGAAGAATAAATCTTAAACAACAGCTACAAATACAGGTCCCTGATCTCTTAACTGAAACCTTTGAGGCCAGATACATGTAGGAATTCAGCATTTCTCAGGTTTGGGAATATACCGTATGTAATGTAACATCTCCATTCGGGTCAGGCCAGCATTCCATGACCAAACATATCAGTATTTCTGCAGTAAAACATGAGAATATTTACACTAAATAGCCTCCCATCAGTTCAGCTCAGGGTCAGCTGCCAAATTAGCTCAACCCAGGCCAGGCTTCACCACCAAATCAGTTACAAAAAGAGCTCTTGATTTTCAGAGCATTATGGGTTTTGGAATTAGGGACAGGGGATTGTGGATCTGTTCAACTGATGCAGAGGAGACGCCTGGAGCTAGGAAGAAGTTCCATGTGTGCAGAGGCAACTGACCCTCAGGGGGCTGTGAGCTCAGGCGGGCGCTCCTACCCTGCTGGCCTCATCTGTAAAATGGGAATAATAACGCCCACATCAGAGGATCCTCCTGCAGTTGCAAAGATTATGCAGGTGGATCGACCTGGTGTGTAATAAACATTCACTAAAAGGAACCACTAGTACGCTTATTACCATCGTACGATTACGGAGAAGCTGGGTGCTCTCTGCATCTCAGTGTGTGTCTGGAGAAGCTGGTTTTCAGCCCTGCATTTAGATGAGTTCTGACTAAGTAAAAAGCAGAGGAACCACAGATGTATTCAGCTGCTCACAGTTGATTATGCCGTAATACAAACAGTTTACATTTAATGTTCTGAAAATTCTCAAATCTGTGACTTGCTGTTACTTTCATGTAAATATTCCAGTTAGAGTTAAATTTTCAGTCTGTGTCCAAAAATCCCAGAAGACTCTGGCTCCACCCTATGTATATGAGGGGCTTCTGCACAGCCTAGAGGCGACTGGTCTCACAGGCTTCTAGGACAGACACTGACTCCCCAGCTGCAGGCCAGTGCTGGTTCATGGATCAGCTTCCTGCCTGGGTGCTGATGTGGGTGATTCACTCTCGGACTGTCAGATGAGGGGAGCAGCCACCAGGAACAGCAGCACTCATAGCACCAGAGACCCTTTTGTTTTCTGAGTCTCAGTATGGACTCCATGTAAAATGAGGGAAAGCAGTGACTTTCCCGCCCCCACACCCAGCTGAGGACATTAGTCACACACTGTAGGAGGAATTGGTCTAGCATTTTTACTTTTGAGAGTATTTGCATTCTGAAAGAGGTGCTGTGACTGGCACAGGGGCCCATAACTGGGGGTGTGGCTGCGCCTTCCTAACATCCACCAGATGCCTCCACATTGTGCCAGCAGCTCCCAGCCTGGCCTCATCAGAATCCTCCAGGAGCTTCTAAAAAATACACATGCCCAGGCCCTACGCTAGAGCCTCTGGATGAGGACAGCTGGAGCCATGCCCAGGATCTGCTCTCTCAAAGCCTCACTGGTGATTCTCAGGTGGCATTTCAAGGCCTTTCACTCTTTAATCTCCCCCAAACCCCCAGTCCTCTTGACACCCTCTGGGGAGGGAAAAAGGGCAGGTATGACTGACCCTGAGAGAGATAGAAGCACTGCAGCTTGGAGTGGAGACTGCCCTGCCAGACCCATCAGCCAAACACAGGGGATGGAGCAAGACAATGCTGGTCTCCAAGCCAGGTTCTGTCATCCTGGCAAGGTGCCTTGAAATGGAGAGGCTTTGCACAGCCACAACTTCCTGTTCCCTCCTTGAACTTGAAATGAAAGGCTGGCCAGCCACCATATTTACAGACCCAATTTTGGCAGATCTAAGGTGTCAGTGGCCTTCTGGCCACTGGTGGGGTGGGGGGCGGTGGGGCCTGCTGTGTTTTCAGAGGGCTGGGAAGTGTCTTAATGCTGGTCCCAGCAGCAGAACCTGGACCAGCCTGCCAGGCTCTGTCTCAACCAGGTGACTCCCCTAGGAGCTCAAGAAGCTTCCAGGACCCACAAGTGAGTGTCCCACAGTGGGATAGTGCATCTAGGAGGATATGGTACTTATCAGGGAAACTGGGAATCCTCCACTCTCTTGGGAAAAACTCCATTTCAGCCTCCATTTTCTTCTCTGGCAATCCTTCCAATGACTTAAAATCGACCTGAAAAACCATAAAATAGAGTTTTGCGTTAAAAAAAATGAACACAGAAAACATGTGGGCTAAATGTTTTTTTTTTTTTTTTGTCTTTTGTCTTTTTTCCGTGTCCGGCAACGGATCGCAACCCTCAGTGTTGCCCCCATACCGGACCGGGGACCGGCAACGGGATTGCAACCCTCAGCGTCGCCCCCATGCCTCGCTCAGCCAGTGAGCGGGAACCGGTCTGTATGTGGGATCCGAACCCTCGAGCAGGAGCGCCACCGCGCTTCCCAAGCGGCGCACTATCCAGTGCGCCACCGGGCCGGCCCAGGGCTAAATGTTTTTAATGGAAACTGATTTCTTTTATAAAAAGAAAAACAACCCTTAAAGGAGCTGAGCTTCAAACATCCATGAGACACCCAGTGCAGCTTTCCATAGCCATGTGGTTGAGGGATCAGATCTTCCAGTGCCTGGGGGAGGGCTAGATAGAAACATAAGATGCTATGGCTTATCTAGGCATCTTCAGTTTTCGGCACCCTCCCCTCTGAGATCTCCATGGATGTGATGCTACCTGGTAATTTGGGAGGGGAGGTCACAGAGGATACACCCCTCTCCTCACCTCCACACCTGCTCCAGATCCTTTCTCTCAGATCTGGAGCAGCCTACATCTTAGTCTCAGGCAAGCCAAAGGGCTAGATCTTCTTGGAGCCATGTGGACCTCTCCTGGGTCAGGAAGGGTGTGTAGACCTCTCCTGGGTGGAGAGGCTGCGTAGACTCTCCTAGGGCAGGGATGCACAGGGCTAGATCTTCTTGGAGCCATGTGGACCTCTCCTGGGTCAGGAAGGGTGTGTAGACCTCTCCTGGGTGGAGAGGCTGCGTAGGCTCTCCTAGGGCAGGGATGCACTGTGGACGTCTCCTGGGTCAGGAAGGGTGTGTAGCCCTCTCCTGGGCTGAGAGGCCCAGCTCTGCTCCAGGGACCATCTGGCCCACAGTGAGGGCTGGGGAGCAGAGACTCAGGGGCAGCTGAGAAAGTGCATTGTCCTGTCTGGCCTCCAGAGGAGATGCTGAGGGGCGAGGGCTGTGGGGCCTGGGGAGGTTTGTTCTCTCCCTGCATGGAGGGTGAGATGGCTTGGGGTTGAGGAAGGGAGAGGGAGCAGAGAGGGCAGGAAACAGTTGACACGCACCCCCCTCCCACGCTGGGCGACTCATGCCGCTCCTGCCGTCGGTCCCCGCGCTCCCACTGCCGCTTTCCCTCCGCAGGCCACCGACTCCGACTACGAGGACGCGCTGCCCAAGCACTCCTTCGTCAACCACTACATGAGCGACCCCACCTACTACAACTCGTGGAAGCGCCGGCCCCAGGGCGGCCGCGGCCCGGCGCCGCACAGGTACGAGGCGGTGGCGGGGG